ATATTGTTAATGTATTCGTATGTTTTTATGTAATTATGATGTTGCAGCTTGTTGCATATGTTTTTGGTTTATTTTGCTGTAATATGTTATTTGGGCTTGGCCTCATGTAAGCCGCCCCGAGTCCCATTGGGGGAGGTGGTGGCGGGGTATAAATAAAGATTATTATTATTATCATTATCATTAGATCCCTTTTTGAACTGTGTATTTTCATCTTTGAGGTATGAGTCTAAGACAGGCATGGACAAACTTAGGCCCTCCAAGTGTTTTGGACTTCAACTCCCACAATTCCTAACAGCCAGTAGACTGTTTGGAATTGTGAGAATTGAAGTCCAAAACACCTGGAGGGCTGAAGTTTGCCTATACCTGGTCTAAGAAGTGTTAAAATTAGAAACTTGGCCTCAGGAACAATTTTGGAAAAAAAAATAGATTGGGCAGGCCCAGCAATGTCCTGGGCGTGAAAAACCTTGTGTGAGCTCATACGAAAGTTCTTCACATAACTGTTTTAGTTAAGACAAAAATGTTTTTTCCTGTTGTTTTGTTTTTTACTGGAAAACAGAGGTTTGTGATATGCAACTTTCCAAGGGTGGTTGGACTCCACAACTCCCTTCAGGCCTTGTTAACATCACTAATGGTCAGGAGAAAAAAAATTGAAGTCCATATTGCCAAATCTTGAATTACATTTTTAAAAAATGTTTCAAGTTTCGGCCTAGCTAAGTGTACTAAATGTCATAAAGCCTGAGTGGGAATCAGGCTTTATGTGTGGCCTTCCACTTGTTACTGAACTGTAACTGATAGCATTCCTCATTGTGGACTCTGCTTGCTAGATATGCTGGTATTTGTGGGCCCAGCATTGTCTAGAGAACTACATGATTCTCATCCCTGCCATAAAGTGGGAAGTAAATTATATTTTTCATCAATCAGCAGTGGATGTGCAGCAGGGACCCTTGATAAACTGTGTTGCCATGGTGTGCAACCACCACGTCGCCATTTTACTTGGATTTCTGTTAATATTGTTAGGCAAGAGATATGTTTTCTATATGATTTGAGAATGAAGCCTAGCTAGTGCAGTTCTCTGGACTGTGATCTATTACATGTTTACATCTTCTATAGCTGGCACTACGCTTTCAGCCCATCATTAGTAACTGGAATTTAGATTTGGAAATTGACATATGCAGAGTTGATTACTAAAAAGGCTATATGATAGAAATGCAGTCTTTTAGTTGTTGGGAAGATCATGGAAATTTATACTACACTCAGAAATTCTCAGGAAGTTGCTACAGGAGAAAGAGATACACACATGAGTAAAAATGTCACCATTTTTTGAGAACTTGTGGAAAAAACAATAAGAAAATTTATACCACCTGTGATGCTTCATTTTTGTGCAATGTGGTCAGCTCACTTCTGCATTGTTTGCAGCGTGTCATCGTTTGTGCTCTTACCACTGCTTTGCACCGAGAACCCAAACTTTTATCTCAGAAAAAGAAGTTAGTCTTGTCACAGGTGGCTTGCCACACTTCTGACCACTTGATTAATAAAGTTTTTAAAAACCTTTGGAGCCATAAAACAATGTAACTGCATCCTTTATCTTTTTCATGCTTTGTTTAATTTTTATATGTTGAATTAATGAGTATTACACACATGTGCATGATAGATTCTGTACATGATTTTTTGTATGGTAATTCCTCTAACTCTATATTAAAAAATCAGGTAGTCCAGGATATTGCCAATTTTGGGAGTTTGTTGACAGGCAGAAACAAGACACTTTTCCTTATGTGACAGCTTTATGTCTGTCATCAGCCGAAGCACAGCTCGTGACAGACAATTCTGGATTTTCTGGCCAGTAAGATAAGCTTGAAGATGAGGTGCTTACTTTTCACGTGAGAGAAACCAATGCTTCCAAGGAAGGACAGTCCTCAGCCATGACAGGATTTCACATAAGGTAACTAACAAAATGTCAGTCTTCATACAGCTTCTTTCCAGTGCCCTGGAAGCTCTTGTGGTTTTTCCTTGTTTTCTTAGTAATGTGTCCACAATTTGACATGTTAGACTGAACACTTGGAGTCATTTACTGCTCTGGTAGAACATGCTTGAGCCAGCTAACTATAACTTCTAAACAGTTGTGAAGAGCATGTGGGCTGTGACATCATACATTGTCTGGCATGCTAACAGCATGTGCACATTTATGTTTCCCTTATGCCTATGTAGTGGGTAGAGTTGGTTCTTTGTCCCTCTGCAGTGCTCAAAACCTCTCAAGCCTTCTTCTGCGTACTACTATATTCATGGCTATTCTGTGTCTGTGGGAGAGTGGGCAGGATAGGAATAGTTCTGGCTAGGTCTCTGTGGCCAGATGTGAAGTTGTTAGTTTCGCTAAAGTTGGCTGGCAAATTCAGAAGATCTTAGCATTGATGTGATCATTTGATGTTTGGGTATAAGCAATTATTGAGTTTGCCATTTTACATAAGGACTCCATTTTACTATGTCATTGTATACAATAGGACTTCAGCATCTACCGATTTTGGTATCCACAGGGCACTAAATACCAGCAGACACCAAGGGCCCTTTGTATGCCATACATATCAGATTTGATTGATACATCAAATTGTCTACTCTTGAAAGTGAAATATTTGGAAACTCAGGTCTGAAAATTAGTTGTTAAATGTTAGCTACTGGGAGATGCCTTTGTTGCCAGTAACATTAATGATGGTATTGAATAAACTGTTGCTTAATTTGTTATTTAAAGCATTGATTCTCAGAACAGTCTATGGAACTTAAACAGAATACCATGGAGGCCGTCAACATCGACTCCTCAGGCTACATTTTGTTACTGATACCTTTAATAAGTGTTCTTTTCATCATTTAAAATTGCTTTCATTCAATGTGGATTTTTTTTTGTGCATGGACAACAAAACCAATAAAACAGTAGTTGCCTGGTAACAGTGGAATCTGGAAACTCATGTTGGGAAAGGGTCTTACACCAAGTTAAATTTTTTCACTCATCTGCATCTCTTTCCTTTCCTTTATGTTTAGTTCACTTACCCTTAAAATGCTTTGATGCCCTGTTAGTGGCATACTTATTTTGGCCATTGCAGAAGTGGTTATTGTTTTTCACCCTCCATAATAACCAAATCCCCCATCATTTAGCGCTGTGATTCTCAATCTGGGGGGTCAGGACCTCGGGGGGGGGGGGGTAGTGAAGGGGTTTCAGAGAGTTCACCAAAGACCATTAGAAAACATATATTTCAGATGGTCTTTGGCAGAGAATGCTGAAGATCTCTCCACCTGTCCTTCTCTTCCTTTTTGGAAACGGACTACGAATCCTCCCATCAAAAACCATCAAAAGGGGAAAGCAGGCATGCTGGGCGCATGGCAGCATGATGTACATGTGCGGGCGAGGGAGAGCATGTAAGGATGGAGGGAGGCTTGTGCCAGCGAGTCCTTACAAGGCATGGGGGTTTTGTGTGGGACATTTGGCCCAATTCTAGTATTGGTGGGGTTCAGAATGCTCCCTGACTGTAGCTGAACTATAAATCCCAGCAACTACAACTCCCAAATGTTAAGATCTATTTTCCCCAAACTCTACCAGTATTCAAATTGGCGCGTATTGGGTATTTGTGCCAAATTTGGTCTCATAAATGAAAATACATCCTGCATATCAGATATTTACATTATGATTCATAACAGTAACAAAATTAGAGTTATGAAATGGCAACAAAAATGATTTTATGGTTGGGGGTCACCACAACATGAGGAACTGTATTAAGGGGTTGTGGCATTAGGAAGGTTGAGAAACACGATTTAGCTGCTCCAGCATCCTCCCCAACATTCAGTGGCCAATAGAGCAGATCAGAGATGCAGCAGGCAATGTCTCTATAGCCATCTGCAGAGTGATGACCTCATCGGTTGACACATCAAGATGACTCTTGTGGATATGAGTGGATGATGTAATCATTCCGCATCTGGTGATGAGAGCATAGCTATATTTCTTTAATTGCCTACCTTTCCACCAGCCACTAGTTGTGTGTGTACATATGCTACAACAGCTAAATGAACCCTCGGAGAGGTTGAGAGGAGAGACGTAGCTGTAGTGTATTTCTACCTGCTGAGCTATTCTGCTGTGCTGCAGCATACAGGATCTTGGCTATTTGTTAAGGACTAATACATAGTTATGTTAAGAGCTAGTAAGAAATGATTGCTTTATTTCTGCTTGAAGATGCTTCACCCACTGCAAGTACCACGTAAGTGGCTAAGTACAAAGATAATCAAGGGTGGAAGTTTTCCACCCACTGCATCAAGGGTGGAAGATTCTTACTCAGAAATGTGTTCAATGCTTCTGAAATACGCAGAATATATTTTGTCCCATTCATAATCATGTAAGGAACTCTCCTGTGATCAGTGACAGAGCCATATGTTTCATACACAGGATCCAGGGATTTCAAGTCTTGAACATTTCCCATTTGAAAGATCAGACTATCTATCAAGCCCACCAATCTCCTCAAACATCTTCCCTTAATATTTTTAAAATAATCTATTAACCTTGCCTTGTAAATGTAATAAAATAAAGTAATGTTTGCTCTCAAACACATCATACGAAAAATATATAATGTTTTGGTCAAAGGTTCAGAGAGGAATCAAATTAGGCACCAATATACATAATTTTAAAAGTGACCAAAACAACTACTCTGGTAACTTTGCCTTTATGTCTTTTGACACACCAGAATCAAAACCTCTCCCCTTCACTCATGATTGTAATTATTAAGTCAATTTATTTTCAAAGAGTCCAGTCAAAATATCTGCCTCAATGAAGCATGGGGAAAGATATAAATCAAGAAGACAGAAAAAGAAGAGTCAAAGGAGAACAAAACGGGAGTGGGTGAAGGTGGTGCAATACATTTTCCAAATTCTGTGAGCAAAAACAAAACACATAAAAGAATACCAAGTGGGTTCAGTGCAGTGTATCCCAAATAATAACATACAGCATTAATAATATATAGTAGTGTATATTAAATCAGAATACATATTTATTGATTAGTTATTTCCAAGCTCTAGCAGGAGCCACTGAAGTTAAAGCCCATAAGATTTGAATGGGACATTTAATCACAAGCAGTCTACTGAAATCAGGGAGACTTCAGAATACTTAAAGGTTGGACTGTGTCATTGTTTACATGTGACTCATTATAAACATTAAGAAATAATTAAGGTGTGACAAAATAATACCAAAACATAAGCATGCAGCCCTTTATTTTCTGCAAAAGGGTTTTTGTGTGACTGTGTGCTTGTATGTCGGCATATTATATTATAGCATTGTACAAATAAGATATTTACAGAAAGAACATTAGTTTTTCCATGTATGTTGCTTTTAAAAACCATCTTCTCCCCACTTTTCATCTCCTAGTGACCCCCCCCCCCAAAAAGTATACTTTAAAACCATGCATAAAATGGACCTTTGGTGTGAAAACCTACTCTATGTGCTCAGCCACATACAGTATTTATATTTATATATTTATATATATTTATATTATATTATGTACAAATGTTTTCCATTATACAGAACAGTACAGAAGTGTACACTTTTTAAAAAAATCCACTATGCAATGCTTCATGATATATCCAGGTCTCAATAAAATGGAGAAATGAAGAAGAGGAGACTCAGCTAAAACTAATCAGCAAATGCCGAAATCTACAAACAATTTTTCTCCTTGGCATTGCAAATTATTAAATATAATCTAAATGGCAGTGCAATCGATAAAATCATCTCATACACATCAGCATCCATCTTAAGTCTGTGGCTTGTGTAGAGGAAGTGTTCGGCATACTACTATCAAATGTACATCATAACGATATCAAATGTTTTGGCAAAAAAGATTTTTTAACGTAACCATGAAGTCTTTTTTGTTGTTGCTGCTGATAAAAATAGAAATCTGTAACAAATCTGAATTAACACTAAAATAAAAGAAAAATATTTTAGTTTCCATTTTATAATTTTGAATTATCACACCATGTTTAGTTCTTGTACTTAAAAATAGCTTTATACAAAACAATTCATTTTAATACAGTTTTTCCATGCTCGATACATTTTTGCACACACATACTTTGTCACTCAAACTCAGGACATTTTTGTAACAGTTTCCGCCTGAAGGAGGTCATCATTTTCCCCACACACGCACCCACACACCCCAACGCACTCTATTGCATTTCAACAGCAATGAATGCATATAAAACTAATTATTCTAAATTAAGAATATCAACCCAATATTTAGCACAAGTTTAGCATTAAACCTAAAATGATACAACGGGGTTGGTAACACATTCCTCTGCTACAATATTGGCCGCAATTCCATCAACGACTGAGAAGACTTTGGTGAACCTTTAAGATGGTTCCTTGGTGATGGTGGAAGATGGAGTGGATTTGCTGACGCTTCCATTCTGGGACTTGTAGCTGGTGAAGCTGGGCGTGTGGATGGACCTGATGCTCTTCACCCCTTGGTTCAGGGATGTGGGAGAGGTGGGAGAGGGAGAGGAGAAGGAGGGCGAGGAGAAGGGAGAGGGAGGAAGAGGGTTTGGCCGACCATTTTGAGTCTGGATCGAGAAGGAAAGGTGATGGTGGCCTTTACCTGTGTGAGTAGGATTCTGGAACTTTAAGGAGCCATTAGAAACAGAAGGGATGAAGGAAGCAGAATGAGTAGGACGACCTGTTTGAGGACTGAGAGGGTTAGAAGGAGGAACAGAGGCTTTAGTAGGTGGGCTTGGAAGATTAGTGCTATCACCACTAGACACAGAGCTACTTTTCCCAGAGGTGGAAGAAAAGGCAGGAATTTTTGAAGCAGAGAGGGTAGGGGAAGTAGCCTTATAGTCCCCACCAGCTTTCTTAGCATTTCCATTAGCCTGTAAATAAATAAAAATGGTGGGAGACAGTTTAAGTCACTATTCATGATAAATTAAAACGGGACTGCGGGGGATATTAGGCTTGTAGAGGAAAGGAATGAATAGTTTGAAACCTGCATTCAAATTTTGCGCCAGCAGACTAGCCCAGGTAACTTCCCTCCTACCCGCCAAACTCCCTCTCCATTCCCTTAACTACATGACAGAAAATGCACAGAACAAGAAGTTGAAAAAAGATAATATGTAAAAGGATGGGGAACCCAGGCATCTGGGCAGATTACCATATTGGCCATGCGTCAGGATTGTTAGATGAGGATGATAACAGTTTGGTGGATGGTTAACAGGCGCTGATTTGAAATCGGTTATACAGGGTGTTAGTATCAACGGTTTCATCTGAAATGCTTCACACAGTTTCTGTTGCTGACACGGAAGAAATTACAGCTGAGTATTGGAACAAAACTCTAAAAAGCAGGAAATGTTTTTGACCAAAGACATGCACAAGCATGGCAAAAGGATAATTCTACCATTTAAACTCAAATCCTGGATTTCCAGTTCCAGTTTTATCAGCAAGACAAAAGTCCATTATTTGGTATCATCCAAGTCAGTCCCCTTGACTTACACGTTTACCAAAACACACACAGAACAGCTTGAAAGTCCATCCCTAGATTTGGATTAAGGTAAAACTACCTGTCTGTACTGGCGCTGATCCTGTAGTTTGTGTGGTTTGCTGGTTTTATCCACGCTTCCTGGTGGGCGACTTTTTGTGGCTGCAGGGATTGGCATTCTGCTGGTCTGGGAAGTGCTGGGTGAAGCCTGCGAGGAAGGTTGGGGGCCCAAGGGAAGGAACAGAAACAAGGGAAACATGGGTAAGTATCGGTTTGCTTGGAAGGAGGGTGGCACACTGGGCAAAGCTGCTTTGTGTGAGAAGCCAAAGCCCTACATGCACAGAAAGCACCAGAGGAATCCACATCACAAATCAAACCACGTGTGTTAATTCCATGAATCAAAAATATGAAGGACAAGGCTGAACTACTGATCAACTTATACATCTAACTTGCAGTTTCAGGTGATTTTTCCACCCACAGAAGAATACTGATCAAGCTTCCTTTGATTGCCCATCACCAAACCAGTACGAGAGTTTTTTAAAAAATCCAAACAATCTATTAGCTGTTAGATACCTAATTGGATGCACCAAACAAGCCACCCGAAAGGAAGCAAACCAATCAGAAGACACCTCTTGCTTAATGGTGATTATTACTGCAGATTTTAGAAAGCAGCTGGACTTGCGATTTCTCATACTAAAGTACCTTATGTGAAGTTGCTGGTAATGATGAAGGGGATTCAACATCAGCATTACTCTCTTCCAGCACTATGGGCTCTTTTGATGAGAAAAAGCTTCCTGCAGATGTTCGTTCCAATCGGTCTGAGGCTTCAGAAGCTGGTTTTGGACTCATTTCGCTAATGGTGCTCTCCAGCTGTTTAATGGTCTGTTCCAAACTGTCCAGAGTCTTGTATGTATTCTTTCTAATTTCATCAGTCCTAGATATCTGCACAGTTACATTTGGCTCCTGCTTCCTAGATGGGTTTTCAGGTTGAGAACTAGGGATTTCAAATCTTTTCGCCTCTTTATGTTCTTTTAAAGTGCCATCTTCCTCTTCTTCTTCATATACTACAACTTGCAAAGTTTTCTTGCCAGTTTTAGTTCCAGTGCGTATTGCTTGGGTAAGAGCAGCCAACTGCTTTTTTGGAAATTTAAACTTAAATTTTTTCTTAGCATCAGAGACATCCAGCTTTGGTTCTGGATGTGGTCCATAAATGTCTCTAGATTTCCCAAGATCCATCTTGTCTATTTCCTGCCCTTCGGGCAATGTGGCTTGAGGTGATGAATCAGATGGAGAATGGGGTCCAAACTGCTCACTTCTATGGTTTGCCGTATACTCAGTGGCATGCCTCCTATTACTATCTTTCTGGTAAGCCTCTATATCATGAGCATCAGTTATGTCTGATTCTTCAATATCTTCCTCTTCTTCATCTATCTTCTCTCCAGTCATCATTTTTTCCAGTTCTTCGTCACATTCCTCAAATATTGTTGAAAGTCTTTTATAAGCTGATCTAATATCCATTGGTTCATCAAAAATAATGATGACTGGTTTTTTGTCCAAGCACACAACTGGTTCTTCACTTTCGAGGTTCTCTGATGTGTCTTGCTGAGTTGCCATTTCCTTTTTGGAATCGATGTTAACAGTTTGCACATCTTCACCTTTCCTACTGACAATATCGTGGACCTCTCCACTTGACAGAGCCTGGACAGCTGTTTTGGTGATCATGAAAGCAATGTTCTCCGACTGTAGATTTTCTTCACTGGGAGAGCTAGTTGGTGACTCCACCTCATCAATATTATTTAAAGTTGTGTTCCTGGATAGCTTATGTCTTAGCACAACTTGATTATAACCACCGGCAGGCATTTCTTGCTCATGGGGGGACTGGTGAGCTAATGAGATCTCTTTAGCTGGTGAGTTTATCTGTCTGAGAAGCTGAGCTCCATCAGCTTCTAGAAACTCATTCTGTGATGCACCATGATCAGGCTCACTCACTACACAACTTAACTTTTGTCTTCCAGTTTCTATAGCTGGATATTGTGCTTCATCAGGTTTGTGTTTTCTTTCATTTTCTAACTCACTGGAGAGGTTTGTGTTTATTTTAAGAGAATGTTTCGAAGCATAATCCTTCTCTTCCAAAATCAAGTATCTGCTGAAGGCAGAATGTTTGGTGAGACTGGAAGCATCTGAGGTCATCTCTCTTGTTCTCTCTTCATGCTTGTCCTGGGGGTGGTCACTATCTTTTGTTGCCTCCCCATACACCTAGGGGGAAGAGTTGCATTACTTAGTTATAGCTTTTAAACGACGGGATTATTTCCCCCCAACTAAGTTGATAAATCACCAGATGAAGCACAAGTAATGATGTCCCTCTCTACATCAACGTAGAGCTATCTCCACAGTCTTCAGATGGTTCCTGTACCTCTTCAGGGGTTAAATCCACATTCTGGTAGAAGGATGCATTTCACTTTTAACGCATCATACTATATGCAGACAACATGCATTCTAGACAGAGACGATCCTTTAATAATAACCTTCCAGGGAGTTTATGTCCTGATATCTAAAACATTGGCTTCATCTTGATTTGAATTAGATTCCCTTTTCAGTGATTGTTTTGTACTGAAAGCTTTAACTCAAGACAGTTTTACTATACCTCAAGTGGAAATGAATAAGGGATACAAGGCACGCACATCATAAAGACTAGCACTTTTAGTGTATAAGCCAGGTCTCCAAGCTGGCCAGCTCAGAAAAACCTGTTCATCTGGGTTAAACACTGCATTACAATCTCATTCTTATATCAATATTACTAAATTGTGTTGCCCAAGTTCTGTTCCTCTAATACAATCTTGCCATTGTATTACCTTGTGTTGCCCATAGATCATCCTATATTAAGTTCTTCAATGAGATTAGAACTCTGGTCTTTGAAGCACTTCATGGTTACAAAAGGATACAACTAAGTCCTGAATCTATCTTACCGGGAAGACATGGCAAAAAGCAACAGGCCCTGACCAAACAAAAAGTTGAAATATACTGCAGAGTATTGTTGATGACAGCACTCAAGGAGAACGAGTAGCCACTTTCTCCCACAATAAGATGCAACTCATTTGGGTCATATTTTCTGTTGAAAATGAATTAATTACATCTGATGATAGGCTTTTCCAGTTTCGACAGTTAAGATCTGCTGCAAAGTATACAACTCCTGTTCTGCTCATTGTATGCACTTAACCCCTACACACTAAAACATACTATTTGCAATGCTACAGAAAGTCCTTACTACTTGGGGTATATTTATAACCTCTCCTTGCAAATACAACAATTTCAATGGATTTTGTAAAATACACAATTTTAGTTCAATGAGTTAAACAGTATGCAAAAGATGCTATTAATTTTGACTTGGTTTTTACTAAGGCCAGCAAGGCTATATTTAGAAAATCTAGACAAGATGTTCCTAATGTAGATCACGGTTTGTCTGTTTGATATTCAACAACCATTTCAACTGAAAAATGGAAGTGCAGCCACATATGTTTGGCCACATAAAAGAATATTCACAGCCTGTTGGTTTCAACTGTGATGTCCAAGTGTCATGATTTTACCCATAAGTGACATTCAGTCTCCAAAACTAGTGTCACTCTTCTACCATGCTAACGACATCATAGGTGCAAGTGGGAATCTTGTTTTTAAATTCAGAAGTCTTGATTTGAAACAAAAAACACAGATGAAGACAGATCACAACACAAGGCTGAGAGAGGCTGTCAGCACACCAGATATCTGAAACTTCCCCCTAGCATGCATATGTGGCTTGTTAGCATTTAACAGAGACTCCAGAAATTCAAGCCCAAGAAAAAGATAAATAAAGTGTCATGCAGGCTAGGCCATAGTAAAGAAAGAAATATGTAGGTGGCCATTGCACAAACATTCTAGCTAGCATCCTGTTAGGAATATATGCCTTTTGCCTGTGTAAGTCTTTTTTTGGTTGTTGCAGAGAATGGTCTTCTCTTCTACCCTCCACAATAATCCCCTCCAGGACTCACAGTTTTGCTCTTATTAGCTTCCTTAAATGGCATTTCCATTGCTTCTGCAAGGTGGGGGTAGAATTGGCAAAGCATCTATCTGTTTCCCATAGTCTGATGCAGATGAATGATATCATCTGTCAAGAGCTCAGTGGATCTTAGTGGATGTCACTGATCTACATCTGGCTACCTGGCATAGCGAGATGCTTCTTTGATTCTTCCTCCCACCCTTCATTAGACTTGGACTGGCCATTTGGAGGCTACTGTGGCAAGTTCTTAGCGTGATGAGCACATGGAGCCATAATGGATGCTTTAAGAAGCAGGTTAATATATGATTATAGCTATTGTATGGTGTTCCTTGGGCTCTGGGATTAAGTAGTCAAAATTTACTTCAAGATTGCAAACTACAATCTACTGAAGTGAACACAAGACTGAACACTTGGCGAATTAATCTTATAATCATATAGCAGTCAGGTTTGATGAAATATGTAACAAAAAGACTTCTAGAAGCTTCCAGATTGCCTAATCTATGTTTTAACTACAAGTTCATTCCACCAGTGGTAAATTCTCACAGGTCCTAAATATTAGAGCTCCAGCATCTAATCCTAAATGAAGGGTATCATGGTCAGCAAACCTGTTATTGTTAAAATCTTGGAATACTCTCAGAACAATGCATGTCACCTGAGGGCTATATGTTCTGCTTTCAAGTGTAAAGATTCTTGAATTGCTCTGTCATTCATCTTATTTTGGTTGTTCTCTCTTGGAAGGGAGGATGGCCCTAATCTTTGGGTTTTCTTGTACACATGGCTTTATCACTGCTTTCGTCTGTTTGGTGATGATTATTACAAGAAACAACTAATCCTGAAGGCAAAAACTGTGCATGGATATATTCTATATATTATTTTGCTTGTAGTTTAAGGTCCTGTTGGATTTAGAGCTACCTTGAAGATTGCAATATCCAATTACTATAGCCAAAATAATTTGATGGGGCAACTGATGAGATATTAATTAATGCAGAAATTTGCATGACATGGAAATGTTGCTCTTTGGAAACATGTCCAGAATATCTCAGCCAATATGGTGATGCTAGATGGGCGACGCTAGATGGGTGATGATGTGAACTGTGGCCAAGATCATTAATGTCCAGAGTCAACCCTTAGTCAAGTAGATAATACAATCTGTGCAATATTTCAAGAGCTTCAGACCAGGTTTGAAAAAGGTCCAGTAATACCACTTCATGGATGAGTGACAAATATAATCATAGTCTTAGGTTAGAGTTGTCTCTACATTTTTCAATCATATTTACGTAATTCTGTTTCTTGAAAATAGTAGTGAGAATCATGTAGCTCCTAGACATTGATGGAAAGAAAGTCCCAGAAGCCCTAATCAACTTAGCTGATGGTGAAGAATGCTGGAATATGCGGTCCAGCAATATCTGGAGGGCCATGTGCCTCATACCTTTTCTGTAATGGTTATTAACATCTTGCAAAAGTGGGACCAAGGTGGGCTCTAATCTAGATAAATGCAAACAGCCATCATGACACACAGAGAGTAAACAAGACAGAAGACATAAGGTTAGTCTGGATGCAAGGGAAGAAGGTGAGGACAAGAGCATGTGGCAAAGTTCAAGATGCCACTGTTACCTTCTTCTCCTTGGATTGTGTTAAGGCCACAGGCCTTGCATCTTTTGTGTGTGTGTCATTTCTGGACTGTTCAACATGACTGTTTGAATTTACATCCATGTAAGTGCACTTCTGGAAAACCTAGAGAATTAAAATACGGTACATTATCAAAAGACCTTTCTATGGTAGGAGTCAAGTCTCCCCAAGAACTGTAAGTACAGCCAAACCTCCATATTTGCAGGTTAAGCATTCAAGGATTTGTTTACTTCTGGATTACTGTATTTGCTTTGCCTATACCATTTTAAACAAGGAGTTTGATAATAGCAATTTCAATGGGAGGAAATCACACATGTAGGAGGGGAAAAAGGGGAGAGGATGGCTTCCATCTCCCCATCCACAGGTGAGTAGTGAATGCACTCACAGCTAGAGCCACCACCCCACCAGTACAAGTACCTTTTGTGTGCTAAATTTTGTTTGGGAAGCTTAAGAGATACCTGCAGCTGTCCCACTTTCATGGGGGTCCTGTGTCTCTACTCAGGCATGGACAAAACGTTGGCCCTCCGGGTGTTTTGGACTTCAACTCCTCCGGCTATTAGGAATTGTGAGAGTTGAAGTCCAAAACACCTGGATGGCCAAAGTTTGCCCATGCCTGCACTAACTGCTATGAAAGTGGAGGCTGGCTGTATTGGAATCAAGAAGTTTCTTTTTTGAGATCTTCCAGTCCAATTCCTTTCCCACTTTCCTTGGGTCTTAAGCATCACCTCAAGAATAGGCTTATAGGGCCTATAAGGTAACTGGATTTCCCTCCTACTAGCTAGCTATGCACTCAATACTTCCATCATGATAATGCAGCAATATTTAGCAATATCTGGTGAAGTTTTATAGCTTGGGCTTTGTGCAAGTTAATTTTGGGGGAAAAAATGGTACTCATTCTACAGCTTTAATGGAGTATCTTCCCTTTGTATTTTTTTAAAATAAGACTTTCAAATCCACAAAAACATATCAGAAGTTCAAATATTACTCAGCATTTATACTTTGGCGTAGTTTTAAAATGTGGTGAAAGTATGGGTTTAGGCCAGTAAGATGCTTGTTTTATATTTTGTCTCACTAATTTGTTATATAAAGGAAGAACAGCCAATTTTTTGAGAATTATTATGTTGTTCTTGAGAAGAAGATTATGATGATGATCTTCTTCTTCATTGGTTTTCATTGGTCAGAATCCATATTTCATGTACCTCTTTCTCTTTAGCCAGGCAGAAACAATTGAATTCTTTGTCCATGGTGTTTAGAAAGCTACAGTGGAGTTTATTTTTAATAAGAAACCATAAGAAAACTAGATTATTATTATTTTCGCTTTCTCTCATCACCTTTATGACCAATATAATCATGCTATCATTTTGCTCTTAATGCTTAAGGAAGGAAAAAACCTGGCAAGACACAACTTGTATTTCATACATTGTTATTTTTAAAATGCTCATAACCAAATATTTTATTTTAAAAGAGGTCCAAATTCTAAGTTAAGAAAGGAGATAGGATCTGCAATATTCTGACTGACCTCGAACTGCCCCAAAGACGATACTTTCCATGAACTTTGCTTCAAAGACTGATTCTGTGCACACTTATTTAGAAGTAAACTCTATGTCAACAGTATTTACTTCTTCATAAAGAGGCACAGGTTTGACTTGTAAATAACAGATTGCATGAGCTGAACTTATTGATAAAGCCTTATGCCTCCAGGTCCACTTATCTCCCCAGCCCTCACCTTCTGCATTTTTAATTAACTGAGGCTCAGTAAAAAGAATCTCAAGCAACTGTGGCTAATTTTAAACCTGGATTGATGGAATGAATCAATGGTAAATTCTAGGTTTTAAGGCTGGAATATTTCTAAGTTGAGTCCAGAATATCTAAAAAGCACACTGTCTTTAGCAGTGGTTCCAAAGCTGTGGTCTATGGACCACCAGTGGTCCGTAAGAATGAAAATATGGTCTGCGGCCTCACCATTACTACACTGATGCCTCGAAACCACGCAGCAATGAGAGCAACTGGTCTCACGAAACCCTCTAATAGTGCCGAGGCAACGGGGATGTCAGGAGGGGAGAGACTGACAACTCATGAAAGGTTACTATTACCACTTCAGCACTAATTAAAACTTGTGCGCCAGCTGCGTCCGTACCTTGGGAAGTCCGACTTGGCCACGGTAGTCCACGCTCTGGTTACATCCGTATAGACTACTGCAACACATTCTATATGGCATTGCCCTTGAAGACTGTCCGGAAGCTCCAAATGGTCCAACGGATGACAGCCATGTTACTAACAGGAGAAGCGCTCAGGGAGCATACTACTCCTCTGCTGGCTGCCAGTTTGCTACCGGGCACAATTCGAAGTGTTTGCTTTAACCTATAAAGCCCTAAACAGTTCTGGCCCAACTTACCTGTCCAAACGCACCTTCTCTAGGAACCAAGTAGGACGTTAAGATCGTCTGGGGGGGCCCTGCTCTCGATCCCGTCTGCATCACAAATACGTTCGCAGGAACGAGAGACAAGGCCTTCTCAGTGATGGCCCCTCAGCAGTGGAACACCCTTCCTAAGGACATCAGATTGGCCCCCTCACTTTTAACATTCCGGAGAAAAGTCAAGACCTGGCTTTTTGAGCAAGCGTTTGGAAATCTTTAAGGCAGTGTAACAGACATAGGAATATGGAATGATTGGGTGATGAGATTGGACCTTTGTTTTTAACTAGGAGATGTAAATGTTTTATGTCTTATTTGACCTTATTATGATTATATATTATATGTTAATGTTTTAAATGTTTTTAAATGTTTTATGTTGTTTGGGCATTGAATCTTGCCTCTGTAAACTGCTTTGAGTTGCCCACGGGCTGAGAAATGCAGTATACAAATATAGTAAATAAATAAATAAATAAATAAGAATTTCTAGTGACTACTGGATGATATATGTTCTGTATCACAAACTAGAGCTGATGTGGTCTATCCAATGCAATTTTCTGAATCAGAACCCCAAGTAACGAAACCAAATCTAAAGCCTGCTGAAAACTGATTCATAACCCTTTAGGGACCAATGTTGAAGAGTGGTCCTAGTCAACTGGTCCCTAGTCAAAAAAGATGTTGGTTAACTCAACCTCTTCTTTTTTTTCTCATAGGCAAAGACCTTTTATTCAGATAGACCTTTTAATTGATTATGGTAGAACACCATCATGGTGTAGTGGTTTGAGTATCGGACTGGGAGACCAGTGTTCAAATCCCTGCTTGGCCATGAGACCCATTGGCTGACGTTGGGCAAGTCACACTCTCTCAGCCTCAGAGGAAGGTAAAGCAAACCCTTTCTGAACAAATTATGCCTAGAAAATACTGTGACAGGTTGGTCTTATGATTGCCAAAAGTCAGAAATAATTTGAATGCACAGAACAACAACATCCTAGACTTTAATATTCACTTGGATTAAATTGTGTGTCAAATCCACAGATCAGAAATGCATGATGTTGTAAGCATGCATTTCTGGACAGAAGCACATACCTGTAACTCTGCCATTATTCTATCCCCCTCTTCTTCTTCATCGTCACCTTTTGCAGGTGGAACTGTACTCGGAGACTGGGGAGATGCAGAATCTTCTTTAGGTACTTTAGGCTGGGTTGCTGAACTATCTTCACTACTTTCCTAAGATGTATAACAAAGAATCAAGTTATAAGCAATAACAGTAAGCTAATAGCTATGTTCAAACAATCTACTTCCCCTTATTGGTCTCCATTTTTTAAAAGTTCAGCCCTGGAAACTGGGGTGGTGGTATCGCTAATTCATAGACCAAAATAATTTTAGGGCTTAAAATAACAATCCTCACTTTTGATGGCATACACTGCACCATTCTGTAAGAATAATATGTGAACTAAGACTTTTTGAAAAAAAACATCTTCCCCTTCCTTTTTGGACTCTGAAAATAGCAGGTGGCTAAAACAAACAAACAAACAAACAAGAACTCATTTCAAAGATTTCTATGGAATGGTAAACTCTGTGTAAGATATTGGAGCTCTTGCAAGTTCTCTTTAAATTTCTTAGACATACATAGAATAGAAGGACACTGTGATTATAATGAATTATAAATGAAATGATAAGAAGGGGAATCTAGTAGGGTTGCCTGGTGCCTATTTTGGCACATTCCGTTCCCTCGAATATTTAATTTATGCCACTGATGGTTTTGTCCTATTCAGATAAACCTCCTGGACTGGATATCTAATTTTGTTAAACTGCCTCCATCATCAAACCTTGGCCACAATGTTGTCTTTCCTGGTCATGTAGCTGATTTCACCCAATCTTGTGCTTAATCCAGATCCTACCAGATAGCTGCGACGTGGAGGTGGAGGAGGTGGAGACTTCATTGGCTTTTCCGTGTCCAGTTCTGGGTTCAAAGTCTCTACTGAAAAAAAAAAGATGTGATTGTCAATATGTTGGTTTGGAAGATATCTTCTGCTCCATGCGCGAGCAATTTCTGTTTGTTGTGTACTGCAATGGGAGAAATTTAAGCATACTTCATTTAGCATGCATTTCATGCCCAATGTATGTATGTATGTATGTATGTATGTATGTATTTATTTCAGGAGAGGGATTCAGGACAGCTTACAATAGACAACCCATGGTGCCAATAAAATACAATAAAAATCACAATACAATTGAACACAATAATACCGTTATAAACTATCACTATTAAACAATCCATTCAAAACAGTTTGCCAGGTCAGACCATTGCGATCACTAAAACATTCACTTCCTAGTTATTCCAACTTATTGCTCAAAAGCTTGACCCCACAGCCAGGTTTTAAATTTTTTTATGAAAGGTCAGGAGGGAGGGGGCTGATCGAATGTCATTGCAGAGGGAGTTCCACAGCTGAGGAGCCATCACGGAGAAGGCCCTATCTCTTGTACCCACCAGTCGCGCCTGTGAAGGTGGCGGGACTGAGAGTAGAAACATCGATGCCACTTTATAGGACCTAAAACTTCAGGACTTGGGTTGCACTGCATTCAATGCTTTTTTATAAGATACCTTTTCTTTATAAGGAAGAGATTATTGAGTTGCATATAGTGTTTTAAGTAAAGCCTTTCCTAAGATTTAGAGGTCTGACATCAACAGTTAATGTCTTTCATGTTTACAAGTCAGTTGGCTGGCTTTATTCCATGCAAACAACAATGATACTTTGTTGTCCTGAAACCTTACCAGAGACTTCTTTTTCCACTACATTGACTTTTGGTGAGACTGCTGATTGTGGAGGCATCTCAAGGTTTGGGATTGACTTCATGATATTTGCTTGTGCTTCTTCAAGCAGTTTTTCAAACTCCTGTCCATTGTAATGATCCCGGTTCTGCCTCTTCTCTTCCCATTTCTTCTCTGCTTTCTAATAGGAAACACACCGACACTCAAAGTAATACATTGAATTCTAGTTTAGTTCAAGATGCTATGTAATGGGAAAAATTGTACACCAGGAATGGGGGTGGTGGGGTTTTTGCTGTCACATTCTGTCATTAATGGTCATAAACATGCATTTCAAGGAGTTAATTTTACTTACTTTGGTCCCCCCCCCCTCCCAAATACCTATTACTCAGTAAGACAACACCTATAGAAAGAATGGGGTTATCTTTTGTTGAAATCCTAATGCAACAGTTATTGGGAAAGGTGAATTAATTACAAATAATTAATTATAAGTAACTAGTAATTCTGAATATTATTTATTTATTTATTTATTTACTCCATTTATATCCTACCCTTCTCTACCTCAAAGACTCAGAGTGGCCTTACAAATTAGGCAGCAATCTGAAGCCAAAATGTAAACATACAATACAATAAACATTTATATTAAAACAACACAATTTAGAATCAGTTATTAAAATCATGTCATCCAGAATCATAATCCACAGCCATTCCATTGGCCCATTCACTGTTCCTTATTCTTGTTGCCCTAAAAAACTTGCTATCCGAAAGCTTGGTCACATAATCACATTTTTACTTTCTTCCTGAAGTTCAGAAGGGAGGGGGCTGCTCTAATTTCTAGGGAGGGAGTTCCATAGCCAAGCAGCCACCACTGAGAAGGCCCTGTCTCTCATCACCACCAGTCATGTTTACAAAGGAAGTGGGACCAAGAGCAGGGTCTCCCCAGAAGATCTTATTCTCTGAGATGGATCATAGAGGGAGATACGTTGGGACAGGTAAGCTGGGCTGGAACCGTTAAGGGATTTATAGGCTAAAGCCCGCACTTTAAATTGTTTAAGTAGCATTAATATGCAAGCCATCCCAGCCCTAAAATATACACCGTACCTCAATCGAGAGTGCTCTGTTCCTTGTAGTGGCATTGTGAAGTTCTTCAATAAAAAGGCTTTGCATGGTGGAGCCATTCACTGATACCTGGGGTGAGAGGGGTGCCTGCATTGGCTGAACAACTGTTGTGGTCACTGTTGTTGACTCTGACGCAGTGGAGGTTGTACGATTTGGCCCTGGTGAAGCCACAGTGAAGGTGGTTGTCAGAGGAGAATTTGGAGCCTGGTTGACTAACGTTGAGGAATGCTGAGACTGATGGATGACTACTGGTGAACTCTGGACATGGTGGACTGTCACGGTGGAGACCGGCATCACTTCTGATTTGACAGGGGGCTCTGCCAGAGATTCAGCTACATTTTTCGAGGGAGAAGTGTGGCTCTTTCCATTTTCTTCATGGCTTTTCAGAACTTCCACTGCAGTGGCTTTCTCCATTGCATTGTACTGGGCAGCTTGCGAAGGATCCACTCCTTTGAGCAGATCATCTGTAACATGCCTGCAGAAACAAATGCCCATGTTGTGAAACCCAGCTAAGAGCATCTGGCTTGGCTTTTCATGAAAGGGCTCCCTCTAGTGAAAGACAAGCTCTAAAATAATTGTGTGCCTTCTCATAAACACAATGATTTGGGTATTAAAGTGGGTAAAGGGAAAATATCATAATATTGTTTTTGTATTGCTCTGCCAACAGACAAGATAGCACCATATAATATTTCACACAAGCTTGGGAAAATATATATGTTTGGATCACAACTTCCAGAATCACACTGATCTGGGAGATGTAGCCCAAAGAATGTCATGTTCTTCAGGATCTGCCTGGATCCAAGGTACTGAGTAAGCATGATGTCTTTTACGATCTGTGAGAGAAGAGACATAGATAGTTTTGAAAAGCTCCAACATACAAACCGAACTCCACCTTACAGTCGCCTATGTGTTTTCTTTTACGTTGTTGCATAATTTGGGACGATTTTCCTCTAAATTGATCTCATCTGTAGCTATTCTTAGCCTAAATTTGGTTATGGGGGCACAGACATTCCTTCAATTCCTCCAAGAGAAACATAATGGGTATGAGCAGAGGGACATAATAGCATTGGCTGTGATGAAAAGGGAACCTAGTGTATGCCCAATAATGTATGCTACCTGCTCTTAACTGATACAAAAAAGTTTGTAAGACTTTCCCTGCCTTTGAGTCACCTCTAAAACAAGTATGAAAAGAATATACTTGTATAAAATTGTTATAGAATTCTTGTACTTAGCCATCATATCTGGAATGAGATGTAACTTATGGAAAAGGAGTAGAGTGTCAGTATCTAAAATAGATGCAACGATCATAGTGCTAGTTCTGTAACTTTCATATTTTTAGAATGTGTGAAAGCTTAGAAATTTATATAAAGATAGGAATCTATATAAATGCTAACAACGTGTTGAAACTAATTTTAACAGACCAAAAAATCACCTTCGGAGAGTGGTAAGTGTATCAGTCATGCTCCGGACTCTCTTCAGGAGGATGTCCAGTTTATGGGGTTCCTCCTTTAAAAATCGCACTGCTTCCACCTCGATGCGGAGAATGGCTCGCATTTTATTCTGCAAAGTTGGAAATTCACCTGGGAAAAAACCAAAAAGCTCTTTAGAAGGAGGATGATGAGAATGGGAGAGCAATATGGGCTTAACAGCCATCAGATGGGCTAGATGCAAGGGAAACTGTGTAGGATATGGGCTACTGCTTATGAATCTGGAAAATGGAGTAGACCTCTTGAAAACCTGAATCTAGATTCTTATAAGTGAGTGGTGCTGTTTAAAACTGATCAGTTATTTATTTATTGTGTCAGAAGTGAGTTGTGAGTACAGTTAAATTACATTTAGAAACACAAAGTTAAAAAAAAAGAACTTGGCATTATGCCAAATATACTAACACATCCAGGTGTCCCCTGGGCAATGTCTTTGTAGATGGCTGATTCTCTCACACCAGAAGAGACTGATCAGTTAATACTTGGGAGTTAAACCTTGTTGACCCTGAGCCTGCTTAAAGCCAGGGCAGAACAGCCACCGTTGTAAAGAAAACAACAAAACTAAACAGAAGAAAACCTGAAAGGTACCTTTGAGGTTGGCAACAGCTTCTCCAACTTGCCGCAAGAGACAAGCTCCATCTTCAACATCTTTTAAGGTAACTATTCGACTGGTTGTCATAGATTCCTTCTTCAGATCTTCAACAAAACTTTCCAGCTCACTGGAAAATAACAAAGAAAGAGCGAGGGTTGAACTCCAGTGCTGCTTGTAGATAGGCAACATTACAGATATGAGCTAGTATATAAATTTGGGATGCCTTCTCAATCAAAGAATTGCTAAACAGACTCCTTTCAGTGTAGATCCATTGAATGAGTATGATTTACAGAGGTGACAACAACAAGAGATTCAGTGAGTACACTAACTTTGACTACCAACTGGATTTAGGGTCAAATATATGATGTTGAAAATATATTAATTGTAGGCTGAAGAATTAGAAAGTTTCACACTTACAATCTACTTTGTACCAGCTAACACAGAACATGCATGGAAGCACATTAACAGAAATCTTTTGAGAAAATTCAAGAACAACCATTAGGTGGCAGCAGGTGAACAGCCTCAGATTTGCAGTCTGCTATAAAATAATCAGTACAATAATATTAGGTTTGCTATAGTGGCAAGAATTCCTTACGTGTTGTCTGTATGTGTGTGTACTCCAACTTAGCAGCAACTTTAGATGTGAAATCTGGAGCACAGAAGAACCAGGGACTGTGTCTGCTTTATCCAAGATCTGGGGCCCTCCAGATATTGTGTTTGGACTCCATTTGCCATTAGCCTCAACCGTGAGGAATGCTGGGAGTAATAATAGTTCAGCAAGAGTACCAGTATTTCCTGCCTTGAAAACCTACCACTTCTATAATCCAGTTTCTCTTCACTTAAGCACGCAGGCATCATCTCATCATCTCTTCACTACATTCTGAGGGAGGCATTTTTTCCTGCCGTGTGCAGTCACATCCCATTTCACAATCAGATCATACATTGATGAAACATTTTCTACCCTCGTGGTTCTTTCTTTTCTCTTTAAGGGAAACGAATAATAAAGCAATTGCAGGACTCTTCTGGGGAACTTTCTCTGCATGTGATAATATCCCGTTTGCAAGCTAACCAGTCCCTATGCTATCACAGTCTGTGCAGATAATTCAGAAAAATGGTTCTGAGGGCAGCCACAGCCAAGAAAATGGTACAAGCACTTCACCACTCAAACCATCCATATTTGCATGCAGCCTAAGCTGACGCAATCCCTCTGATGTCAACAGGACTTGATCAGCTTAAACATGTGCATATCTGTTTAATCTACTTGATTTATCTGAGATACACACAACTTGTTCCAAGAAGCTCTTTTGTCTTTGAAATGTGTCCCTCCCAACAAAAAAAATGGGGGTTGAGGAAAATAGGTTTCCTAGATGATGCTCTTCAAAGCTAATATGCTCTACAAAATTGGGGGAGGGTTGGGTATTTAGTTTACCTGTCCAAACATATCTCCCTCTATTTATTTATTTATTTATTTATTTATTTATTTATTTATTTATTTAGAGCTTTTATTTAGAGCTTTTATTTAGAGCTTTTATAACGCCCTCAACCTCCGAAGAGGGACTCAGGCCGGCTAACATGAACCATTTCAGAGATTAAGATCATCTGGGGAGGCCCTGCTCTCGGTTCCACCTCCCTTGTAGGTGCAATTGGTGGGGACAAGAGACAGGGCTTCTCAGTGGTGGCTACTCAGCTATGGAACTCCCTTCCCAATGAAATTAGATCTGCACCCCCCTCCCCCACCTCCTGGCCTTCAGAAGAAAAGTAAAAACTTAGCTATGGTACCAAGACTTTGGGCAGTAAGCAGTACAAAGAATGATTAGGGATTATGTGCAATAGATATGATACTTAGAATGGCATGGACTATGACTGCTGGATTGTGTGATTTTAATGTTTATTTTGATATGGTTTTAATTCCATGTTTTAATGTTAAATGATGTTGTGTTTTATGATTTAATTGATAATCATATGTTATTATCATTGTGTTAGGTTTCTGTATGTGAGGTATTAAAGTTTGCCATAATTATGTTGGAAACCACTTTGAGTGTCCCGCTGGGGTGAGAAAAGAGGTATACATGTGAAGTATGTAAATAATAATAATAATAATAATAATGGAAGCTGTGTGTATGTGTGTGTGTGGGTATGCTAAATTGGTCTTTTAGTTTCTGGAGGGCCATATGTCCCCACAGTTAGTTCAATGCCCCCTCCCATCTCCAATTCTGGATATTCGTTTGCTCCCAAGTAGACAATAATGCCCTGATCCATCTCACCCAGCATATTCTTTTTTAAAAAAATTATCATCATCTGGCAGATGGTACATGGTGACAAAGACAAGGACAAACTGATTGAAGGGTAGTTTTTATCCTAGAGCTGTGGTTTCGCATTGATGTGACATTGGGGGCTGTGTGGTGGTGATGGTGTGGGAGGAATAGATGTATTGTTTTGTGGTATGTGCAGTGGAAGGCATGTAATTTTGTTGTGCAATAGCATGACAATAATAATAATTAATAATTAATAATAATAATTAATAATAATAATAATAATAATAATAATTTATTTATATTCCACCCTATCTCCTCAAGGGGACTCAAAGCGGATATATAACACACTAAAAACACATAGCGGCAAACATTCAATGCCTCACCACAGAAGTAGATAAAGCTATTCTATTCTATTCTGAAGCCACTCTGAGCAGTGTGTACGATGTTGGTCTTTTCTATATGCTCCAACATTTAACAGATGTGAAATGTTGGAGGGCACATGTGGGCAAGCAGCATCAGGGTGTACTCAACATGGCAAAAGTTATAAATGAGGAAGAAGACACAAGCTAGGAGAGGCTTCCGTAGTTTGCTTTTGTGTGAGCTTACTGGAAAGGGTAAGATTCCTCTCCCTCCTCTCCGCCTCTCCTCCTTAAAGGTAGTTCGCATGTTTCATTGAGTGCCAACCACCTTTAAAATCTGGACTCAGTTTGAAACAACTGAAGGCAAGCTGAGGACAAAGGGGTGAAGCAGCTATGAGTTAGTAATTGTAGTTTACAAACGTGTAACTGGAATACAGGATGACAGTCAGTTAAATGAAACAATTGAGCATCTCCAGTTTCTTAGAATGATAGGCTTATTATATTAGAAGGCTGGAATGCGGTATTGGGTTTATGCATGGATAAGCACCATCGTTATGATGTGACACAGCGAATCCCTGCCTGACCCCTCCATTCCCCAAGTTTCGATCTGAGCATGAACTTTCATTACATATCCTCCAATTCACACACAACCTAAATACAGTGACACACAGGTTTATTTCTACCACCTCCCTCTGAACTTTCCCTAAAACATTAACCATATTGCAGTGGCTGCATCCCAGTAAATGGGGACTAGACGACTTCCATGTTTCCTATGCATTTCCTAATGCAACATTTCTCAAACTGGAGGTCGGGATCCGGGGGGGTGGGGGGTGGGTGGGTCTTGAGGGCGTTTCAGAGTGGTCGTGAAAGAACATCAGAAAACATGTATTTCAGATGGTCCTATGACCCCCTTTGGCAGAGAAGGTTGAAGATCTGTCTGCCTGTCCTTATCTTCCTTTTTGGAAACAGACTACGAAGCCTCTCACCAAAAGCCCTCCTCCGCTGTGATTGGCCAGGCTCTCAGTGAAGGGGAGGGCTGTTTTTGAGACTCCAAGTGGGGAGGGGAGAGCAGGAATGCTTGGCGCATAGCAGCGTGGTGCACATGTGTGAGCAAGGGAGAGTGTGCGAGGCTAGAGGGAGGCTCACATCAGTGAGATCTTTCAAGGCATGGGTGTTCTGTGTGGGAAGTTTGGCCCAATTCTATTGTTGGTGGGGTTCAGAATGCTCTTTAATTGTAGATGAACTATAAATCCCAGCAACTACAACTCCCAAGTGTCAAGATCTATTTTCCCCAAACTCCACCAGTATTCACATTTAGGCATATTGAGGATTTGTGCCAAGTTTGGTCTGGATGTATCGTTGCTTGAGTCCACAATGCTCTCTGGGTGTAGGTGAACTACAACTCTAAAACTCAAGGTCAATTCCCACCAAACCCTCCATGGGAGTTCTGTGTGCCAAGTTTGGTTCAATTCCATCATTGGTGGAGTTCAGAATGCTCTTTGATCGTAGGTTAATTATAAATCCCAGCAACTACAACTCCCAAATGACAAAATCAATCCCCCCAATCCCACCAGTATTCCAATTTGGGCATATTGGGCATTTGTGCCAAATTTGGTCCAGTGAATGAAAATACATCCTGCATATCAGATATTTATATTACGATTCAAAACAGTAGCAAAATTACAGTTATGAAGCAGCAATGAAAATAATTTTATGATTGGGGGTCACCACAATATGAGGAACTGTATTAAGGGGTGTGGCATTGGGAAGGTTGAGAAACACTGCCCTAATGGATTGTGAATGCATTAATCATTGTGCATGTGTATTTCTCAGTTACATATTCACAACTGCCAAAGAAGATTCCAGCCGAATTCTGTAAAATACAGAATTCCTAACTTCAAATGCTACAAAGGAAGCTAGTGCACAAATTTACACAAGAGTCTTTTAAAGACTGGATATTTTTCTTGTAAATCACAGGCAGCTGACAACACATAAAAGATCTGTGTCTACTCTAGAATTTAGAGTACATTGTTATTTACAATCACCTAGAGTCTTAATGGCTGCAAATAACACCATGCCAGTATTTTGGAGTGTTATGATTAAAACTGTAGAGAAAGCCACGGATAATAAAATTAGCACTGACAATAAGAAGGAACTGTCTTGCAGATACAGCTATCTGTAAATTAGGAAGAGTAATAAAAGCAATTAATTTGCTAATGAATAACTAACAAAATGCACACTTGAAGAATTATTTGGACAAAGTTATTGATTTTATTTCAGTCTAATCAGCAAAGGTATCTATCACCTTCTCTGAAAAGTACTTTAAGCCACTGGCCTAGTCAATAATATGAGATCAATTAAATATATTAAGAAACCTCTTGTTAGAAAGTCTCCGGCTTCTGTCCAAAGCATAATTACTCAGAAAGTTACTCCCCTTAAAGTCAGCGGAACGAAAAACTTGCAGATAAACTCACAACAGCAATTTTGTCCTCCTGAAAGTGGTGGTTATCTGAAGTCAATGACAAATATGTGCCCATCCCTCTATTCCAAAGCTGAATGGATGGCTAGTTGAATTTAATTAGAAGCAGGAGAATCAATGGAGTATGAATGCTGCAAGTGGAGCAAATGATCCAGGGACCCATCAACTAAGTTTCCCAACGTGTTGCTAGCCTTTCCCACCTCTATACACACATTTCAGGTATTGTGAAACAATAAAAAGAGGAATGCTTTTGGAAAGAGGGGAGCTGCAGGTATTTATTCCCCACATTCCCCAAAGTTTGGTAGTATTCAGCAATGTGTTTTTTTTAAGTAAAACTCTTTGTAAAAAGGTTGTTGTTGTTGTTATCATCTAATTTTGTACATTTGATTAAAATATTATATTTAAACACATTCAAGGCTTTATATGGGAATTAGTTGATTAGAATATTTGGAATCCTACAAAGAAAACAGGATATACAGGTCCAAAATGACTGGGCCCAGAAATACTTTAGATTTCAGGTTTTTTCAGATTTTGGAATACCCATATTTGTGTAATGATATGTGTTGGAGATGGGAACCTATGTCTAAACATGAAATTCATATATGTTTCATATACACATTATACCAGGCAAAACACCCTCTGGGTGTTTTGGACTTCAGTTCCTAACAGCCTCAGGCCCTTTCCTTAAGTGGCTGAGGGGGGATTTTTTTTCACAATTTTCTAATTTCCAGCTTCAAAGTAAGTAAATAAATGGATTATGTATGTGTATCAACTGCCCACAGTGTCTGTAACCTGAATCAGTTGCTTTAGTCTGTCTAATGAGAAGACCAACTTTGAAAGTAGCCCAAGCGAATGTTTTCAAGTCTCACAGCAATCATGTCTGAGTGGTTAACCATTAATTCATTTCACAGATGTATAGATATTTCTAAATCTGATTTTCCCACATCTAAAGAAATCCTTAAGCAATTACACTTACTGATTCATCTCCTGTTAAAAGGTGTAAATAATGCTGGGTTATAATGTTCATGCATCCACATGTTATAGAAACAAAACCCATGGTGGTCAAAATCTCTTGGGAAATCTCTTGAAAAGTGTGCTTGTTGTGCAAGAGCCCACCCACATGCACGTTTTCAGCACTGATGTATCTTTTAGTGAAATACAAATCCAACTTGTTTCCTTGTTCTTGTTCCAGAATCGATTAAAAAGCATACTGCATAATTAATTCAATATATCCCGCACTGGACCGGCCTCATCTGGGTGCCTTATTTTATGTACTATATAGACAAGTTGTATCAGGTTCAGGTGGAGAGAACAAGGATTATAATAAGAATGAACAAATAACTATGAGGAAGAGTTGAAGGAGCTGGACATGTTCAGCTTGGTGAAGGGAAGACTGATGGGTCACATGGGGAGACACCAACCCTGTTCTCTGCTGCCCCGGGGTAGGACCAAGTCCAATGACTTTAAGTTAGAGGATATTAGATTTCAATTGGACTTTTTTCAATATCTTCAAAAATAGGATGGACAGCTACTTACAAGGGGTTAGACTCGATGGCCTATGAGGCCCCTTCCAGCTATGATATTATGGTACATTTAAAATAATATTGCGCTCATTACCAGCTGAGGGAATACATAGCTATCTACAAGAAAAAAGAGCCATTGGGCCAGACTGTTTGAGAAACACAGGAAACAGAAGGTCTAGAACTGTGGAGGAAACACTACAAAGATCTTCAAGATATGACAGTAAACAATAATTTAGAGGTACACACAAAAGTTGGCATCAATTTAAGGTTCATATGCTCTTCCCCCTCCAGCATGGTGGCCATGACACTAGAAACGTTCACTTTTAAATTAACCAGTATTATTTGTGACATGGAGTTTGTGAAAATATGGTTAGTATAAAGCTTGGTCTAAAGTTTAATGGAAGATCAAAGAAGGAATCATAGGCCTGGTTTCTTCTCAAATCAGAGATTAAACCAGTGGTTCCCAACTTGTGGTCCGTGGACCACCAGTGGTTCACAAGAACGAAAATATGGTCCGCAGCCTCACCATCACAACACCATTGCCTCGAAACCATGCAGCAATGAGAGCGACTGGTCTTGCGAAACCCTCAACGGGAATGTCAGGAGGGGAGAGGCTGACTACCTATGAAAGATTGCTACTACCACATAGGCTCTAAAGTATTAAATATGGTTTACTGTGGGCCAGCAGATGGCAACTACTGGATGGCATATATTCCGTATGAGAAACTAGAGCCAATGTGGACTAACAAATGTAATTTTCTGAATCAGCACCCCAAATAACCACACTGAATCTAAAGTTGACCAAAAACTACTTTATAACCCTTTTGGTGCTAATATTGGAGAGTGATCCCTGGTCAAAGTGGTCCCTGATCAAAAAAAGGTTGGGAACCACCGGGTTAGACTAACCAGGGCTCCTAATTCAAATGTAACAAGAAAATCTGATTATTTTCAAAGTGGACATATACATTTCCTATTTGTAGAAGCTCCGAAAGAGAATAACAGTGGACAGATGCACAGTCTGTGATGAAGCACCATAAATTAGCTTCAGGCACTGAATTCTGATGGCAGTTTAGGGGAAATAAAACCCATGCAACTTCAGAGAGCCACACATAGACTGGTGTTTGTTTTGGGTCATTTTTGCAAAATGCTTTTGGAGCAGAATTATTTTTTAATGTCACAATTAAAGGTGAGCCATTGTGGTAGAGCGGTTTGAGTGTTTACACTCTCCCAATCTCAGAGGAACGCAAAGTCAAATCCCAACTAAAGAATTTTTGTATTTTCGAAGGCTTTCATGGCCAGAATCATTGGGTTGTTGTAGGTTTTTTGGGCTGTATGGCCATGTTCCAGAAGCAAGTGCAGACTAAACATCAGGAGAGAATGCTTTTAGAACATGGTCACAGAGTCCGAAAAACCTACAACAACCTAAATAATTTTTCTCAAGAAACTCTATGATAACTTTGCCTTAGGGTCATGGTAAGTCAGAAATGGCTTGAAGGTACACAACAACAACCTTTAAAGGTTCACAACTATTCTTAGCCTTCTGTGACACCAGTTTTTGGGAACAGCAAGGGTGGGGCTGGGCAGAATTAGAAGCCTGCTGTTTGCAATTACAGCACACCATGTTGAGCAACATTTTAAAAATGGCAAAGGCATCTCCTCCAGGGAAATCCTATCCAAGATATGAAGAGGGACTGGTTTTACTCACCACAAGCTCTTCACAATTCTTTCCTCCTCTAGAAGATATTTCTGCCTTTCTTGCTCCACCAGATGTCGCTGCCGTTGCACAGGATCTTCAAGTTTCTTTGCTCTTTCGATCACTTTGTCATTGATTTCCAGCTCGGCTTTTTTCACCATGGCCCTGAGCGTCTCCTGGTTTTGCAGCTGTTATACAAAAGAAATCAGCTTCAATTTTCTCTGCCTCACTTTCCTAGTATCTGAACACATCATATTGCTCAGACATCGGTATGCATAAACTACCAACAAACAGCTGAACAACCCCCTGCCTCCAAATTTATGCACAAATAAATGGTATTTTAAAGAAGAAGGGAGCACACGGGGAGCAACAATGCTATTAATGTTGAATCCATACATTAAAATCCCATTATAATGTTTTTCCTTGCACATCATTGTAACAAAAATGGTGCACACTTTGTAATGAATAACTTGGAAAAGCTACTTTTTTGAATGACAACTCATTCAAAACTCCATATAGTATAGGCACTGGCTAAGCTGACTGGGAATGGAAGTCCAGAAAAAAGTAGCTTTTCAAGATGTAATTTTATGATATCTTTGATGCAGCATTATCTGGCATTTGGGAGCCTCCTGTGGTGCAATGGGTTAAATCCTTGTGCCAGCTGGACTGCTGACCGAAAGGCTGGTGGTTTGAATCCGGGGAGCAGGGTGAGCTCCCATCTGCCAGCTCTAGCTTCCCATGCAGGGACATGAGAGAAGCTTCCCACAGGATGGTAAAACATCTGGGCATCTCCTGGGTAAAACATCTGGGCATCCCCTTGCAGATAGCCAATTCTCTTACACCAGAAGCGACTTGCAGTTTCTCAATTCACTTCTGACATGAAAAAAAAATCTGGCATGCATATCAGATTTGTGATTTGATTCAAACCATTCATTTAAGAAATCATTATTCTGTTTGTTAATCATGAAATAAAAAGCAACTTCTCAAAGAGGAAATGCTGACATTCTTCCAGCTTGGGATGTTTTGATTATTGGATTGCAGTAGAGTCTTGCTTATCCAACAAAAATGGGCCGGCAGAACGTCGGATAAGTGAAAATGTTGGATAAGGAGGGACTAAGGAAAAGCCTATTAAACGTCAAATTACATTATGATTTTACAAATTAAACAACAAAACATCATGTTTTACAACAAATCAACAGAAAAAGCAGTTCAATACATGGTAACGTAGTGTAGTAATTACTGTATTTACGAATTTAGCACCAAAACATCGCAATTTATTGAAACAGCTGTGGATCCGGGCAGAAGGCAGACTGTGTTGGATAATACAGAATGTTGGATGAGTGAAGGTTGGATAAGCAAGACTCCTTTGTACCTAATAGCTTTGCCCAGTGTACAACTTTTGGCCATTTATACATCAACTCAACATGAATTCATTGTCAAACAGATTTATCAACCTTCTGATACTACACTTAGGGAGACCCTGGTATATCTGTCAAACAGAGAATTGTGAATCTTTCTAGACAATAATAAATTGGTTAAAGAGAGGTGCTCCATTTATGCCTTTGCCTTGTAAAATATTATACAAAAGTAGGAAGTGGATAAGCTGTGATCTTCCAGTTCTTGTTGGACTACAATTCCCTTCAGCACCAATTATCATAGCCAATATTAAGGAAATAGAGAGGTGGATTCCAACATCTGGCAAGCTCCACTGTGTCCAGAATGCATTAAAGAAAGCTTTTACAGATGAAAATACAAGTGTCATCACCTCTGAACAAAGGCTAGCCAACACTTTGCGCTCCAATGAACACACCACCCACTAAGATACCTTTAGCCCCTTTCCATAAATATTTACAATGCTCCCTTCATCTTTCCTATGCCAGAGAACAGGATGAACTATTTTTGTTTGCTATTGTTTGTTGCTTTGGACAGAGACACTGCGTCCAAGGAATTCAGTCTCTGATTGCACACATTTGCTCTTTCTGGGACGAAAGTCATGTCCTAAAGAGGAGCATTATATAACCACATCCCCATTAACAAGCTGTTATCCATAATACTTAAATGGAATCTCAGTGTGTACATTTGTTAGCCTTTCAAGTTCCCTAAGATTCTTCCCTGTCTGAAAAGGAAGAGGGAAACCAGGTTTGCATCCAGGCCTCTCTCTTCCAAGAATGAAGGTGCAATGATACCTGCAATTGTCTCATCTGGTGCAGTTGGAGGCGAAGATCCGACACATTGCGCTTCATGTCAAAGAGACTGACTTGCATAGCAGTGCAGCCCACTGGCATGGAGTGACTGATGTTTGCAGCAGCAGCAACAGCTGCCTCGCTGGCTCCTAATGAATTCTTCCCACCAGATACATGAGCAGATCCTGAAAATAAACAGCAGCAAACAGTTTCATTAAGAGTGAAGGATCAGCCACCTTCTCTCTCCTGTAGCCATCATAAAACATTAGGACACCGACTGATTACTTAATTCATTTGATGGTGAGAAAACAATATCACAGACTGTTCAATTGCATCTGAGAATGCCCCCCCCCCTTCAATTTAATCATGATGGGATGGTTAGGAGCTCCCGGTGGCACAATGGGTTAAACCCTTGTGCCGGCAGGACTGCTGACCAAAAGGTGGTTCAAATCCAGGGAGCAGAGTGAGCTCCCATCTATCAGCTCCAGCTTCTCATGACAGAAGCCTTCCACAGGATGGTAAAACATCCAGGTGTCCCCTGGGCATTGTCCTTGCAGACGGCCAATTATCTCACACCAGAAGCGACTTGCAGTTTCTCAAGTGGCTCCTCACATGAAAATTAATGAGATGGTTAAAAATGGATGGTAATAGCGGCTACAGAAAAAAAGACTCGTGATCCAAAGATAATGGCAGCTTATCATGCTCAGAATGGATTGTTAAACAAGATGAAGATGCTCCTTCACACTCAGGTAATTGACAGGACCTGATCTTCATCAGTTCAGTCTGGTGTGCAAGGGTAAGCTCCAGTGACCTTAAAAGTAATATGTTTAAAGTAAGTATATTACATCGCATTATTTGGGAAAGCATTTGCTTAGTCAATAACATGTGGACTGATAATGGCACAACCTTTTTGTTTGTTATCTATTCATTATTTCTACAACTTTGCTGGAAAGAAGAGTCAGTTTGTAAAAAATGGCAGTGGGTTGGTACTTCTGAATTTTAAAATATAAGTAATATTTTAAATGGGGTTGTTGTAGGTTTTTCGAGCTGTATGGCCATGTTCTAGAAGCATTCTCTCCTGACGTTTTGCCTGCATCTATGGCAGACATCCTCAGAGGTTCTGATGTGTGACAACCTCTGAGGATGCCAGTCATAGATGCAGGTGAAATGTCAGGAGAGAATGCTTCTAGAACATGGCTATACAGCCCGAAAAACCTACAACAACCCTGGGATTCCGGCCATGAAAGCCTTCAACAATACAATCTCTAGAGTCATTGTACCAATGGTATTTACTTGGGTTGGAAGATACTCCAAGGGCCACCCAGTCCAAAACCTTATCTTGAAGGAATACACAATCCAAGTACTCCTGAAAGATGACCACTCAATCTATGTTTATAACCTTCCAGAGAAGAAGACTCCACTATCCTCCGAGGCAATAATTTCCACTGTTGAACAGCTCTTACTATCAGAAAGTTCTTCCTAATGTTTAGGTAGAATCTCTTTCTGCAAATGGAATCAATTGCTCTGTGCGCTGGTCTCTAGAGCCTCAGAAAATTAGCTTGCCCCCTCCTTACTATGATATCCTTTCAAATATTAAAACAAACATAGCTATCATGTCCCCTCTTAAACATCACATGTTGACTCAGTTGAGTATACTCAAGGGGAACCAACAGGGCTCAGACCTGTTCCAAAAATTCAAAAGATAAAGGTAAAGGTTTCCCCATGACATTAAGTCTAGTCGTGTCTGTCTCTGGGGAGGGGGGGGGGGTACTCATCTCGATTTTTAAGCATTGTGCGTAGATGCCTCCATGGTCATGTGAGTGACATGACTGCCAGGAGTGCCGCTATATTCCCGCCTGAATGGTACCTATTGATCTACTCACATTTGCATGTTTTTGAACTGCTAGGTTTGCAGAAGCAGGGGCTAACAGCAGGAGCTCACCCCACTTCCCAGGTTCAAACTGTTGACCTTTTGGTCAGCAAGTTCAGCAGCTCAGGGGTTTAACCCATTGTGCTACCAGGGGCTCCATTCAAGCTGTACTACCAAATAAAACATTTGTAATGCACTGTGAGTGCATCATTTTCTAAACAAGTAACATTAACAATGTGCAAAATAGCAAGTAATCCCTATCATATTACTTTTAAAAATAACATTACAAGCTCCAAGCTCATCAACACATCCAATATCACCACTAAATGAGTCCATGCTATCATTTACGTGGTGGGTTCAATTTAGAGTCAGCATATGTCAGAAATTACTTGAATGCCTCACAACCTCTGAGGATGCTTACCTCTAGAACTTGGCCATATAGCCCAAAAAAACCTACAACAACTCAAGAAGATGATTACGTTTGACTTCTTTTACAATTTAACTAAAGGTAGAGTCTGGGTTCACAAGAATGAAGAAAGCAAAGCCCAAAACAAATGCATATCCCATCCTCAATAATCACCATAATTTTGTGATTTGAGCACTAGACCTCAACTCTGGAGACTAGGGTTCAATTATCTTGGATTATCTTGGACAAGTCACACAGCCTCAGGCCCATAAAAAAACATGATGGGGTTCAATTTAGAGTCGGCATATGTCAGAAATTACTTGAATGCACCCAACAACAATCTAACACAATATATTACTTTACTAGATGGTTTCATTTCATGACACTTTTTTTTCCTGATCTACAATTTGGGTTGCTGGTGGGTTACAACAATGCAATAAACTTAAACCCAGCTTTGTGTCTGATTCAATCAAGAGTACAACTATACCAGGGGTCCTCAAACTAAGGCCCGGGGGCTGGATGTGGCCCTCCAAGGTCATTTACCTGGCCCTCGCTCAGGGTCAACCTAAGTCTATAACGACTCAAAAGCACACAACAACAACAACAACAACAATCCTATCTCATCAGCCAAAAGCAGGCCTATACTTCCCATTGATATACTAATAAATTTATATTTGTTAAGATTGTTCTTCATTTTAATTATTGTATTGTTTTTTATTTTTTTGCACTACAAATAAGATATGTGCAGTGTGCATAGGAATTCATTCATGTTTTTTTCAAATTATATTCCGGCCCTCCAATAGTTTGAGGGACTATGACCTGGCCCTCTGTTTAAAAAGTTTGAGGACCCCTGAACTATACTATAGAATGAATGGAGTTTGACACCACTTTCACAGTCATGCCTCAATGCTATGGAATATTGGGAGTTGTAGTTTGGTAAGGGACCACACTCTTTGGCAGAGAAGACTAAAGACCTTGCAAAACTACAACTTCCAGGATTTCATAGCATTGAGCCCAAGCAATTCAAGTGTTGTTGAACTGCATTAATTCTATAGATAGATGTCTTCAACTTGCAATCTGGGCACGAGGCTTCATTATGTATCCTCTACACAAACAGTGTAAATAAATGTGGTGATAAAGAAGTTTATTTTTGCTGCCTCCCATTGCACTTGCCTTGAAATGTTAACTGTCAGTGAGATCACAGATGGGCTCAGCACCAACAAGATACCAAATCCCTGTGTTGCCAGTCTGTCGCTCAGCTGGTCAATTTTTGAAGACATTTCCCATTCAGTGAGGGAAAACAAGAGCAGGGGCAAAGCATCTTGGCCTGTGTTGCTATATGGCCCATGCTTCCAGCTGGCATTTGTTTTCTGAAGATATAAAAAGAGACTGCCTCATCTTCCCAAGGGAGAAATGAAAATGGCAGGCTCCCACTCCTTCTCCGCCTACCACACCCATTCCTCCCTGCCTGCTTCCTAAAACATCCAGGCAATGGCTCTGAACTGAATGGCAATGTTGGAGGAAATGCACAGGGAAATAGACTGCCTTGGCACATACAACCAGTGTATCTAACAATCATGACAAGCCACAAAGCAGCATTCACTGTTTTCATACAGCACCAAAGTTTAAGCAGCCCCTTTTGTGGTCCCACAGAAGCAGAGAAATATCTTTCTTGACAAAATACAGGGAAATCCCAAATCTATAGCTAGTGAGCACATGCCCTTTGTTGGCAAGTTTTAACTTCTGCAATTGTCTTTTTGACAAGTTGTTATTACTATTATTTGAAACACAACAAGGTGAGTCCAAAGCAAACAAGATCGCTCTGCTGGCTGTTGTATTGGATCACACGTCGGACACTTCCCGTGTCTAGGATTGTGTGATGTTATCGGCGAATAATGCACCCGATGAGGGGGTTGTTGTTGTTGTTATTATTATTATTATTTAGAGCATTTGTATCCAATCCTTCTCAACCCCCGAAAGGGGACTCAGGACGGCTTACAATTGACAGTCATTAGATGCCGAGAAAGAAACAGTTAGAACATAACAATTTGCATAAACAAGTCAACAGCAATAAAAATACATTAAAATTTTTGGCCCTTAAAATATTAATGCAACCAAGTCTGAGGCCACAAATCCAAATCAAAGTCCAGAGTTCCAGTCCAAGGTCTCTTAACTGACAATTCTCACGAGTCATTACAGTTGTTGCTCAGAGTTCCTTCCCTGACTGAGGATAGGGAATTTGAACACTATAAAAACAACTTGGCAGATTATCTGTCCAAATGCATCTCCCCCTATGAACCATCTCAGAAATTAAGATCGTCTGGGGAAGCCCTGTTCTCAGTCCCACCTTCCTCGCAAGTGCGATTGGTGAGGACGAGAGATAGAGCCTTCTTAATGGTGGCCTCTTGGCTATGGAACTCCCTCCCCGGCGACCTTAGATCAGCCCCTTCCCTCCTAGCCCTCAGAAAAGTAAAAACTTGGCTTTGGGATCAGGCTTTCAGAGAATAGTTCAGTACAACAACAGATTTGGAATATGTGCAATGACTATGGAATGGCTTGGACTACGATTATGGATGGCGTGATTTTAATATGGAATGTAATGTTTTTAATGTTTAGTATGTATTAATTTTAATTTAATTTTAATATTTTGGAATTGTATGTCGCTCTAAGGCATTGAATAATTGCCTATATGTAAGCTGCCTTGAGTCTCCTTCCAGGTAGAGAAAGGCAGGGTATAAATAGGGAAAATAAAGAAAGAAATACTTTCGGAATCACTTTTTTTAAAATCCAGTTTTCCATATACTTCTGAAAAGGCATTACAAAGAAGACCTCCTAGGCATGCTGTGTGCACTTGCACATTACACTTCTTCACCCTTTTGGATAGGTTCACATCAGCTTTTTCATGAGATATCCCATTAAATGTCTCATGCAGAAAAGATGATGCTGCATTTGCAGCTCATTCAAGACTATATTACTGGCCATCATGAATAGCATTACCACTAAGTAGGGGTCCTCAAACATTTTAAGTAGATGGGCAGTTTGCAGTACTTCAGACTGTTGGGGGGGGGGGGCTAGACTATAATTTGAAGGAAAAAAACCCACAAATGAATCCCTTTGCACATTGCACAAATTTTATTTGTTGTGCAAAAAAAAAAAAAAAAACCTACGAAAGAACATTACAATATTTAAAATGAAGAACAATTTTAAACAATGTAAACTTACCAGCATTTCAATGGGAAGGCCTGAAATTGGCTGATGAGGTGGTAAAGTTAATTAGGACTGCTGTCGTTGTTGTGTGCCTTCAAGTTGTCTTAGGGTGACAGTGTGTCTAAGGCTTTGGGTGGGGCCGGGTAGCTGACCTTGGAGGGCCACATCTGACCTGGAAGCCTTAGTTTGAGGACTCTTGATTTAAGGGCTAGCCCAGTGGTTCTCTGATGTTTTGGCCTTCAACTCCCAGAAATCCTAACAGCTGGTTAACTGGCTAGGATTTCTGGGAGTTGTAGTCCAAAACACCTGGAGACCCACAGGTTGAGAATCACTGGGCTAGACTAATCAATGAACTTTGTGTTAAGTCTCTGATTGCTCTTCAAGTAGAAGATGAATTTTCATGCTTATCAAAACAGCCAACTCATCATTACGACAAAGCCTTACCTGTCCTCTCTAGGTTGCTTTTGCTGGAGACAGTTTTCACTATCTTCTCACTAATTGGAAGAAAAGAATTGAAAAACCATTATGAATATCTATTCATCAGTAAATCAATTATCAATAATGTTCTTTAGAATCACCATCTAAATTATTTTGCAATCCCTTGTCTAGGTTACAGATTCATTTTGAATTTAGTTGACAGATCAAACTTCTAGGATTTTGAGACATTTGACCACACGATTGACTGTAATCACACCAAAGAAAATATGACTAAATTTCATTTTTTTCTTCAGAATTCTACTTGCAAACTTAACTTTCAAACCTTAAAAAAACCAGAAAATGCATCTGATGATCAACCATTCTGTTCTGGACAAAAATCCTGATTCAAGTGAAATAAATGACAATATTTTCCATTGGTATTCATGAATTAAGGATTCTGCTCAATGAAATAATTACAGTGAAATTACAGATTTAAAGAATTCTTTTATTTGTTTATTTTTACCTAGGTGCATCTTTGCTATTACTTGTATTTGGCCCTTTAAAAAGCGCAGACTGAACAAGACCAGTTAAACTGGCAATCTGTTTTTCCATGGCTTGCATCCTCTCTCTGTAAGACAAGAGAATTGTTTGTTAAAGCCAAATGTATTTTACTTTCAAGACCAGGTTCTTTTTTTTGGGTGAATGTGGATCATGGGAGTAGAAAGACACCATGGAATTTGTTCAGTGGCTCCTGAGCACAGACCTTCTGGCAAAAGACCAAACAACCACATCATTCCTTTCTAAAGAACACCTCAAACCAAAGTGTTAATGTGACTGTAACAAATATGCATTACAACAAACTTCTTTCTGATCTCTTCCTACTTCTATTCTGATTTAAGCATATCTATCTGTACTTTATTTTCCTGTAATCATCTCGTTTCTAGTTTCCCTTCCTGCTGCCGTCTTCCATTCTTCAGCTCAGACAGAATCTATTTGAAAGCTTCTTTCTTCTCATATTACCATCTCTACCACTTTTCTCAAGTTTCTGTACTGCTTACCTGATACTCCTCCGCTTAATTCAAACTACTTAATTTATCTGTGTCTTTTGAATTTGTCTCACCTTGTGTCTTCTACCCTTGTTCTTTGCACCTTGCTATTGTATCTCTCACTCTCTTCCTCTCTTTTGACTCACTTCTTGCTTTCACAATGCTACCCTCCCTTTCCTTGCCTCACTGTGGACCCCCACCATGTTTCCCTCTTTGCTTCTTGCATCCACTACTTGCACTCCTTGCAGAGCTAACCTGAAATACTGGGCTACAAAGTAAAGTCCACAACATGTGAGTGCGGAGAAGAACAAACCACAAACTACCTGCCACAGACACACTGGAGGACCTCCTTGCAATGACACCAGAGGCACTCCAAGTGGTCAGCTTCTGGACAAAGGACAGTTAGCATATTGACAACTTTTAAATTTTGTTTGTGTACATTATAACTGTGAGAGTATACAACCCTCACAGTTATAATGTACACAACCCAACCTATTCAACTTGCACGCAGAACACATCATGCAATGAGCAGGACTTGACGAATGCAAGGCTGGAGTTAAAATTGCTGAAAGAAACATTAACAACCTTAGATATGCAGATGATATCACTTTGACAGCTTAAACATTAAAAAAACCAAGATTATGGCAACAAGACTGATTGTCAACTGGCAAATAGAGGGAGAAAACATGGAGGCCGTGACAGACTTTGTATTTCTAGGTGCAAAGATTACTGCAGATGCAGACTGCAGCCAGGAAATCAGAAGACGCTTACTTCTTGGGAGGAGAGAAATGACCAATCTTGATAAAATAGTGAAGAGTAGAGACATTACACTGGCAATGAAGATCCATATAGTTAAGGCAATGGTATTCCCCGTAGTCACCTATGGATGTGAGAGCTGGACCATAGGGAAGGCTGAATGAAGGAAGATAGATGCTTTTGAGCTGTGGTGCTGGAGGAAAGTTCTGAGAGTGCCTTGCACCACAAGAAGATCCAACTAGTCCATACTTCAGGTAATAAAGCCCGACTGCTCATTGGAGGGAAGGATATTAGAGGCAAAGACGAAGTACTTTGGCCAAATCATGAGAAGAAAGGAAAGCTTAGAGAAGACAATTATTCTGGGGAAAATGGAAGGAAAATGGAAGGAAAAAGGAAGAGGGGCCGACCAAGGGCAAGATGCATGGATGGCATCCTTGAAGTGACTGGATTGACCTTGAAGGAGCTGGGGGTGGTGACGGCCGACAGGGAGCTCTAGCATGGGCTGGTCCATGAGGTCACGAAGAGTCGGAAGCGACTGAATGACTAAACAACAAAAAAATTATAACCGTACCCTCGACTTGCTTCTGACACGATAAATAAAATAACTCTTTGCTGGCTACCTCCCCATGGGAGGCTCCCACCAGTTGTTGTTTAAGTGGACTACTTCCTTTTGCTTAAGGGTAGGGCTGGACCAATGAATACCAAAAATTAGTGAGTTCATAGTGCTGAAAATCTGGGCATCTGGGTCAGGAATGATTGCTAATGCAAACTAGGAATCTCTCTCTCTCTCTGTGTGTGGCAACAGATTTCCTTACTTTCATTTTAATTTAACGACAGCTTTTTCTCTGGTCTGATTAACAGGCTTTTTTTTAAGCTTGAAGTCATACATCCAAACCTAAATGACCCAAGTCTCATCTTGCTTTCACCTTCATTGACACTTTGCTCTTTTTACACCTCTATCTTTCTTTCTTCTGCTATCAGTTGCTGAACTCTTGCCCTTTGGGGTAATTCTTCTAGTTTATTTACGTTGGTGATGTAGAAAGGCTTCAAACCTTGTGCACTCTGTCACCAAACAGGTCAGCAATTGTTTTAACATTAGCCCTTGTTGACAGAGATGTTCAAACAAGTCATACCACAAACGCCATCCCTCGGTTTCCATAAGCTACATATGCCCTTGTGGATCTATTTATAGTGTGAGCATATTCTGTGGTCCAAAGCACAAATTGGTTTTCACTGTTCAGTAAAAATGTTTATTGCGGAATAAAACATCCCCTATAAAAAGAGCACTGAAATGATGCTACTTTAGGCTTGATGGCAGGACCAGCAGAAAACTCATAGTATATGCCGTCGTGCAAAGTGAACTCAACTGCCAAGTATTTTCAGGGCAAATGAAGCTGCCTTCAACTGAGTTAAATTTATCCTGGCCAAAACCATTCATACTATCTCAAGTGTTCTCAAGGTCTCAGGCAGGAAAATGTATTTTCCAGTTTTGCCAACTGAGATCCTTTTTGCTTGCTATATCCAAGGCTGGAGAGCTGCTGTAGAGATGGACTAGAACCAAAGCCCTCCTGGTTCAATCCCATATTACCTGCAAATCTCACTGTTACCATGAACCATTCATTGATAATTTAACCTATACTGCAGAGTTGTTGTGTGTATAACACGGAAAAGAGCATAGCATAGCAATGCATGCCACTTTGAGTTCCTTGAAGAAAAGGAGGGAGGATATAAATAAATAAAAAGATGGATGAGATCATATGCATGATTTCCCCTAAGGTCAAGATAGATGTTTCTAGCAGCTGAATCTTTGTAATCTCTCTAACCTGTTTATTACAGCAAGGATGAATCTCCAGCATCTGTTATTATTGGTTGTTTTTATTTACCCAGTTTTCTCTTAAAATTGGGAGTCAAGGCAGTAGGAGTCTTTCTCTGCTCTGCTTCCTGAGATGGACTGGGAATGGGCATGCCAGGTCCTCTAGATCAGCATTTCTCAACCTGGGGGAGAGGATCCCCGGGGGGGGGGGTCACAAGGGAGTGTCAGAGGGGTCACCAAAGGCTATCAGAAAAACACAATATTTTCTGTTGGACATGGGGAATCTGTGTGGGAAGTCTGGCCCAATTCTATTGTCAGTGGGGTTCAGAATGCTCTTTGATTGTAGATGAACTATAAATCCCAGCAACTACAACTCCCAAATGTCAAGGTCTATTATTCCCAAACTCCACCAGAGTTCACATTTGGGCATATTGAGTATCCATGCCAACTTTGGTCCAGATTCATAATTGTTTGTGTCCACAGTGCTCTCTGGATGTTGGTGAGCTGCAACTCCAAAATTCAAGGTCAATGCCCACCAAACCCTTCCAGTATTTTCTGTTGTTTGTGGGAGTTCTGTGTGTCAAGTTTGGGTCAATTCCATCATGCTCTTTGATGGTAGGTAAACTATAAATCCCAGTGACTACAACTCCCAAATGACACAATCAATTCCCTGTCCCCACCTGTATTAAAATGTGGGGGTGTCGGGTATTTGTGGCAAATTTGGTCCAGTGAATGAAAATACATCCTGCGTATCAGATATTTACATTATGATTACAGTAGCAAAATTACAGTTATGAAGTAGTAACGAAAATAATTTTATGGTTGGGGATCTCCACAACATGATATTAAACCGTCATGATATTAGGATGGTTGAGAACCACTGCTCTGGATGCTTTGGACTACAGCAGTCATGATATGTGACTTTCAGTCATGCTGGCTGGAGCTGATGAGAGCAATTGTCTTTGTATGAAGTTTATCTAGCCAAGAAATGAGATCCTGGAAGGACTAGGAGCAGAATAATTGTGGTGCAACCTGGCAAATGAGGCCCACTTTCATCCAGACTCTCGAAGGAGGCCAATTGTTAAGACTCAGTTCCAAAGCAGAGAAGAAAATGGTGCTCCCCTAGTCTAATTCCCTGGGGCAGCCGAGAAGAGCCAAAGGAGCAAATCCACACCTTCCCTTGGAGAAGCTTCTCTGTGTTAAGACCAGTAATTATCAAGCAGAATAGCACGCCTGAGCAAAATAGAACAAATCTTGGACATCCTTCCACCTTTCCTAACCCCATTCCAAGAGATTCTTCCTTTCGCTAATTGTTTCTCAAAAGGTGCCTCCTGCCCTATTGCTTTTCAAAGGAGCAGAACAGATAGAATCCTGCCCCAGCTTTGTTCTCTGGAGTCCTGCCACAGCACTCTGAATTCTGGCAAATATTCTTTTGGATAGTTCGAGTCATGCTCAGAACATAAAACAAGCCTTTCCCTCTGCCTCATAACTAGCCATGGGTCATTCAGAATAGGACATTACACACGGATAAATTGATCTCCACCTCTCACTTTGAAATGATATGAGTGCTGGCTTGTATCTTCTTTTCCTTTTCCAGAGGCCTTTCTTTCTTCCCTTTTCTTTTCTTTTTCCTTTTTATGTTCATATTAAAGAGGGGACACGTCATGCCGACTGCAGGCATAAACTAGAATGTCAGTCATAAAATCTTCCATTCAAGTTAACATGCTTCATTAGCCTGTGTATGTGCAGCCTTTCTATTAAATATAGACAGATGATGTGCCCGGGAGAGAGCTCGCGACTCACAGTACTAGTACTCCTGTATATGGATTATGAAAGAGGATTTCCAATTATTTTTATACCATAATAAAAATGAAAGCTGAGAGAGAGAGAGAATAGCTTAACGATAGAGGGCATATTTTGCAAATAAAAGGTCACGCTGCAGAGTTTTGGAACACGAGTGGGGCAGACTAGAAAGAAACCCCTTAGACCAATTGCCAACTGAGCCCCTTCTTA